ATATCGTCATATTCTCTATTTTACCGTAAATCCACAAATCACAAATGAACTTTCGGATTAAACCAAATTAAAGGGAAGTTGAAAATGTAATTAAAAGTCCGCTGGAATAACAAACTTTTTGGGCTCTATATAAAGTCTGCGTCACTAACTAACTGTTTCAGTCTCTTCACAATGTCCCCATAGAGAGAGAGAGAGATTCTCTTCGACGGCTACTCGCTAACGGACTCCAATCTCCGCCGCCTTCCTCTACTTCTCTCTCTCGCAGCATCTTCCTCCGTCGCGCTCGTTCTCCATACTGATCGTAAACTCGTCTTCTGCTTCGTTCGCAACGGTTCGATTTCTTACTCTGTTTTCTTTCTCGCCGTATCGCTGATCGCAACGGTTAGAGATGTTTCTCGTAGTTGATCGATGGTGTGTATCGTTTTACAATCGCTAGAAAGATTATAGGAACGTAGTTTCGTTTTCTTGGGAATCGGATAATCTCGTATCGTCTTGTGTTGTTATTGGTGGAGGAGGTTACTGTATATCTACTTCATCGCGTTGTTAAGGTTAATGTGTATAGAGATTGATCGGATTAAGATTCTCGTTTTGTGGATTCTGTGCATGGATTAGGCAAAATGAGTTCATCGGAAACGAGATCTCCTTTGGTTGAGAAAGATGACGAGATTCTTGAGAATGTTGGCGATGATGATGTTGTTGTTCGTCCTATTGGTGAACAAGAGGAGCCACTTGAACGAAACTTAACTGAAGAAAACGAATCGGTAAATCTAAAGATTTGATAAAATGACTGTGAAGTTTTTTTGATTAGAGTTTTGTTTCTTCAGGATGACGAAGAAACTGCTAGTGCTGTGAATCCTTTGGCGAGCAATGCTGCTGCTCAGGTCCTCCCAGTGTTACAGAATCTCCTGCTCAGCAATGACTCCCAGAGGGTATAATTGCCATTTATTAATGTTGTTTTCATATTCATCTTTCTTGGTATATACTGTACACTTTCTTTTATGTGATTTGGCAGGAGAGGTTAACCGGATTGATTCAACTCTATGTTCCAACTGCTCGTATGTTTTTTCTTCTGTAACCCAGATTTTTTTTGTTATTAGCGTCTGCTTTGTTGAGTGTCACTGATTATATGATCTTTAATCTTAACAGAAGACACTAGCGCCATGGTGAATGAGGAAAGCGAGCAGGTTCAGTTTTGCTTCTCGTTTTACTAATGACATATGAGGAAGTTGGTGTGAGGACAGAGTATAAGAGCCTTTTTGAAATTTTGAAAATTCGTAGAGCGCAAGGGAGGCAGAGCTATCTTCTCAGGTTCATTTCTTGGAGCAGAGGTAATACATACAAGATAACTCTATTTTCCAAATTTTTCATCAAAAAGTGGAAACAAGTGATTGATTGTTCCAATGGTTTTCAAATGTTGCAGTGTGCAGAAGCTTGAAGAGGAGCTTGAGAATTTGAAGAAACTAAACGCTCAGGTATTGTGAATGTGTACATTCATCATCATCAACATGGTCTTTCTTTTTTTACTAGATAACCATTACCGTTTATATATATGACTGGTTCCTGAAATGGTTGCAGCTAGAAGAACAGATCAAGCGCTTGACAAAGAGCAGTGATCCATAAAGGCAGGATCGATTTTGCGCTCCATCTTGAAGGAGGCATATGCTTATGCACCACTCTCTTTGCATTACTTCTTTTTTTTTTTGCTCTTAGAAAACGTTATGGACAGATAAACTGATGTAGTTGATCCATTCTTTGATCGAAACTGTTACAAGTTTCCTATGTGGTCATATAAAATGACACCCTGTTTTGTATATAAATAATATTGAAACTCTATTAGCATTTGAAACAAAGAGGAAAAGAAACGAATTTTAATCCTTCATTTTTGCTTAAAACATTTTATAAAAGAGACAAAAAGTAAAGTTAAAACTTTGAAAGTCTTAAAACTGTAAATGCCAAGCTCTCCCAATTATCCACTCTCCCCTTTTTAAATTATAAGAGTCCAACGGTTGTTTCTTTCTACGCAAGGAACGATAAACGTACTCATCAATTATCATCTTTTTAAAAAAAAAAAAATTCATATTATTAGATGTGAAAAGACAGTTGTATCCACTTAAATATTTAATAAATAAAATTAAATTCGCAAATAACAATAATATTATAATTATTTCTATTTAAGATAAATCTATGTTTGAGATGAATGTGTTAGTTTACTATTTAAAATTTAATATAGCAAAGTTTTTCTCTTAAAAATAAAATGATATTATGAAAGAAACAAACTTCAACAGTCACTAGAGAATTTAGTCAATTCAATGTACAAAAGTGTAGTTTTCAAAAAGTAAAAATAATAACGTATTTTTTAAATTAAAATCTTATATAAGTGTATTTCTCCAAATTTTCCCTATATTATACTACTACTACTAATTCTTGTATAAAGTATCAAAGATCAAAAATGTGATCCGAGTGATTATAATTTAGAACTGAAAGATGCAAGGTGAGGATTGTTGATATTGAATTCTTATTCTAATTGGTTTTTGCTCCATTATCTATATGATGTATCTGAATAATAATTTATTAATTACGATGATATAATTAGAGGTAAATCCACAACTGAAATTTTCGCATTTCAAAGTCCGCTAAAAAACAAATTAAAAGGTTAATTATAAGTCCGCTGAAATAACAAACTAACTTTTGGGTTCTATAAATACCGCGAGACTAACTAATAACTGACTTAACTAACTTTTCTCAGTCTCTCCACAAAGTCCCAGAGAGAAGAGAGCGATTCTCTTCGAACGGCGATTCGTTAACCGACTTCACTCTCCGCCGCCTTCTTCCATCTCTCTCCGTCGCGCAGGTACCTTCTCCGACTGATCGTTCGTTCGTCGTCGTACCTCTTTTCTCGTCGTATCGCTTCATCGTAACTCCGATGACTTCATTTTCTTAGAGATGTTTGGATCTTGTATCGTTTTATTCAATCGCTAGAAAGATCATAGGAACGTAACGAAGTTTAGTTTTCTTGTACGGTTATAAGTGGAGAGGTTACTGTTTATGAAGTTTTGATCGGATTAAGCTTCTCAATCGTATTGTGATTTTGCTGCATGAATTAGGCTAAAATGTGTTCATCGAGAAGAGGATCGCCTCTGGCTGCGAATGATGACGAGATTCTTGAGAATCTTGGCGTTGATGATGTTGTTGTTGATCATCCGAGCAGTGATGAAGAAGAGTCGTCACTTGAACGAAACTCAACTGAAGAAAACAACTCGGTAAAATCTAAAGATTTGATCAAAAAACTTTTAGTTTCGTTATATTTTGCAATGATTGTTGAAGTTTTGATTCAAGAGTTTTGTTTCTTTAGGATGACGAAGAAACTGCTAGTGCTGTGAATCCTTTGGCTAGCGATGCTTCTGCTCAGATCATCCCAGATGCTTCTGCTCAGATCATCCCAGGGTTACAGAATCTCTTGCTCAGCATTGACAGCCAGAGGGTATAATTGCCATTTATTAATGTTGTTTTGATATTCATCTTCTTGTACTCTTTATCTCTTATGTGATTTGGCAGGAGAGGTTAACCGGATTGATTCAAATCTTTGCTCCAAATGCTGGTATGTTTTAATGTTCTTCTGAGCATATGTTCTTCTTGTGTTTACGTGTTTTATTGATTATGATCTTTATTGTTCACAGAAGAGACAAACGCAACGGTGAATGCGGAAGGAGAGCAGGTTGTGTATTGCTTCTCATTTGCTGAGGTGAGGACAGAGTATATAAGAGCCTTTTTTAATTTCTGAATAATTCACAGATAGCAGCAAGGGAGGCAGAACTGGCTTCTCAGGTTCATTTCTTGGAGCAGAGGTAATAAAAGATACCTTCCATTTTCTAACTTGTTCTTTACGTTACTTCCAGAAGTGGGAATAAATGATTGATAGTCTCAATGGTTTTTTGAATGTTGCAGCGTGCAGAGGCTTGAAGAGGAGATTGAGTATCAGAAGAAACTAAACGCTGAGGTATTGTGAATGTTTACATACGTATAGAGCCACAACTCACTCACCATTCATCATCAACATTGTCATCTTTTTTACTAGATTAACATTACCCTTTATATATATGATTGGTTCCTGAAATGGTTGCAGCTAGAAGAACAGATCAGGCGCTTGACAGAGAGCAGTGATCCATAAAGGCAAGGTTTGACTTTGTGCTTCATCTTGAAGGAGGCACATTTGCATCACTCTCTTTGCATTACATCTTTTTTTTCTCTCTCTTAGAAAACGTTATGGACAGATAAACAGCTTTCGTTGATCCATTCTTTGTTTGAACGGTTTACAAGTTTCCTGTAGTCATATAAAACGACTCCCTCCTTTGTATATAAATAATACTGAAACTCTATTAGCATTTGAAACAAAGAGAAAGAAGAAATTATTTTTAATCCTTCATTTTTCTTGACTTGGCAACGGAAATGATTAGAGATAGTGGTTTTCTTATTAGACAGTTCCTCTCGATATCTGCTCTACATCCATGTAACTTCAAGAACTAACGAAAATCAAGCTGCATACTGCAACTGCATTGTTCCTTTGCGGACACATAAATTAACATATACGTTCACTCTTCCACCCACCGTTTGCTTTTTTTCATATTCAGTATCATTTGTTTTATTTTGTCTAAATTTGAATCAGTCTTTTATCTATCTTTAAGGTTCCTCAAACCAACCATGCATCATAGCATTTAATACACCACTAAGCGGCCTGTTACTGGAAGCTACCCCAAACTGAAATATTTAGACAGAAAGTAACCCACCATTAACATAATCGGCTCATAGGCCCATTTAATTACATATCGAAGTCCTTTCCTCTTGGGCGTCACGTCACTGTCCCCAACATACACCTTTTAAATAACAAAACGTTAAAATCTTTTATTCAACAAAGATATCTATACATTTTTGGACTCTTTTGCCCACTTAAAATTTTAATTAATGTAAAAAAATCAAAAGGATAAATCAATTATTGTGTTTGAGTTGCAATCCAGAGTCGAATTCTGATCGTGTTGCAGTCTATACTGGTTAAGGGTTTCACGTGCTCGGTTGCGGCTAGTGACTAGTGAGAGACCCGAGTTGGAAGCAATGTCCTACCGATTTAGCGCACATGCTTTAACGTCGAAAGAGGAGCTCACGAGAAGAGAACTAGCTCCAGATCTTTAACTAATTCCCGGTCCGTATGGTACACTCAACCTCCACACAACTAAATCGTATTATTATTATTAATCACCTTTCTTAATTAACCAAACTTCTCTATGGTCTGTTTCCCTCAAACTATACCGTTGACTTTCTTTTTCCTCTTGCTCTGTTTTGGGTGGATCTGAAGTTTTAAGATCACCGGTGTTAGGTTCATCAATATGTTTAAACACAATGATGTGTTTCCTGGATTTGTGGTCTGGATTAATCAGACTATTCAAGAGCCTCTTAAGGTAATTCATTGACATCTCAAGAAGCTTAATCAAATACAAAACTTAGTTGGATCATTCTTTCTGTTGCTGTTGTTTATAGGCTGAGGTCAAGAGATTAAGGAATGTCAACGAGCAAAGCTTGGTTAAAAGTCTTAAAGCAGAGATAGAGACTACTCATTATAAACATAGAGATGAGGAGAAGTTAGAGAAACAATTACAAGCTTGGAGAAATAATCCTTCATGGATTGATCAACCTCCTAAGGTTCAGGTATATGATTCTCAAAAAAAAAAAAGATTAGGTAGTATTCAAACAAAAAAATATTTTTGCAGGTGAAAACACAAAACGGTTCGTTTTGCCATTTGAGCATGGAAGTTAACGTGGGATTGCCTCCTGAATCAGTCTACAACATCTTCACTCATCCAGACAACAAACGATACTTCAAGAACATCAAGGTGCTTCTTGCATGGTCATGAATCAAAATATAGTACTATAGTAATAATTAAGATAAATTTTTTAATCCTAAAACAGGAATGCATATCAAGAAAAGTTTTGATGGTGGAAGGACCAATGCAGACCGTGGAGGTGAAGCAAGCTGCGGCTTGGAAGTTCCTTTGGTGGGCTGGTACTTTCCCTGTACATCTAATTGTTCAAGAAAACAGAAAAAATCTTACGGTAATAAGATATATTTATATTCCTCACAAGAATTCAATATTTTTGTTCTGTCTCTTTATCAATTTTCTTATTGTGGGCAGTCAAAATATAAGCAAGAGAAAACAATGTTCATGAAAGTGTTTGAGGGTTGTTGGAGTGTGGAGCCAATTTTTATCGACGACCATTTGTGTGACCGCATGAAACCAAAAACTCTAAAAGATTACGACAGTTGTAGCAATGGACGAGGAAGGATAGGGTCAAAGGTGACAATGGATCAGATGTTTCAGCCTTCTGCTATTCTTACTCCACCTCCACTTTCTTGGTACATTCGTGGGATCACCATTAAAACCACAGAGAGTATGATTGAAGATCTCCTCTCTGAGGCTGCTAGGATCCGAGGAGGAGGAGGAGGCCAAGATGATGATCATGGAGAAAACGTCGTTGTATTGGAGAAGGGAAAAGATGAACACATAAAGGAGAGATGGAGATCACGTAGAAGAAGTAATGGGAGGAGATATATGAATCAGAGAATGATGTAATTATTAATATGATTGTGATTTTAAACTTTCTTGATTGTTGCTATGTGAAAGAATGATCTTTACAAACTCATGATTCTATGATTGTTGCTTGTACGTCAAGAACTCACGAGAATGGAGCTGCCAATTCTTCATTGTTATGCCGTATGTAAAGCTTGTAACCCTACTAAATCTGACTACTTATTGTTAATTCAAGGATTGTACATAAAAAAAAAACGTTCTCGCTTGTACGTCATGTAATTCACGAGAATTGTGCTGCCCACTTCATTGTTTCTCCATGCATAAAACTTAACTTACAACATTCTCTCAAGATGCAGAATATACTTTACCTAACATTAGAGAAACCATAATATAAATACACAAGCTTTAAGATCATCATTTACTCTTGCTCTCATCTGTTTTGGTAGGCTAAACTTTCGAATAGAAAATGGGTATATTCCCTGGATTTGGTAGCTGGATCAGTAAGAACAGTCAAAAACCTCTTAAGGTCAGCTTATATCATTAAATTAATATATAAATTAATATACAGTAGAACCTCTATAAATTAATACTCGATAAATTAATAATCTCTACTAATTAATAAATTTCACTGGTCCCAACTTGGATCGGTTCAAAATTTGACACAAATCGATAAAATAATAAGATAATAAATTTTTAGAAAATTCTATGTAAATATAAGGTCCCATTAAAATTATAAATTAATAATTTCTATATATACATATTTTATATAACAACCTAGCATTATATTGTTTGTTTTAAATTTAGAATGGAATTGTCTTTACATTTTCTTAACACATAATATATTTTTAACGAGATTTAGTTATATATATCTAAAATCACATTTAAATTTTATGAAAATATATATTACATATCAAATAATATAAAAAATTAATATAAATGTGAAATTTTAAAAATAATGATTAATGTCTATACATTAAAATCAAATATTTTTCATATCTTAAAATAAATATATTAAAATAAAAAAATCGAAATAAGGAAATTTTTGTAAATTAATATCTTTATAAATTAATAAAATTTAAAAGTCCCAACATTATTAATTTATAGAGGTTTTATCAGTATATATAAACACAGTTTTATTTTGTTTGTTGATGTAGGCCGAATCCAAGAGATCTGAAGATGTGGAATCTAATAATAATGATTACGAAGAGGACTTCAGACAACAAAAACTTTGGCATGAAGCTGAGGAGAAGCATCCTTGGCATAATCACCCTCCAAAGGTCAAGGTAAGAAAAAAAAAATCACAAAACAAAATATAATACCCAAAATCTTTTTGCCTTCTTAGAATCAAAAACAAGATCCTCAAAACTTTCTTATATTTTTGATAAGGTGAAAACTAAGAAGGGTGTTTACCATATGAACATAGAATTGACTTTGGGAGCGGCACCTGAAACAGTCTACTTATGGTTGACTTATCCACACGGCAATACGTTTTTGGATGAGAACAGGAGGCGCGACCTTATGGTTTTCTTTTCTGATCATTATTTGATTGGAAGGTGGTATTAAATATATAGCAATACATGAGACTCTGCTATTTTTTTTTTTGTTTCTTATCAAGGTAACCAAATCAAAAAAGATTTTCAAGGATGATGGTACGAGGAAGACCTTCAAGGTGAAGAGATCTGTGGTTTTTGACTTCTTTTCGCTGACTTCTATACCTATCCCATTACATCTGACAGTGGAAGAAAACAGTAAAGATCTTACGGTAAGAAGCTTCTCTCACAAAGAAGCAACACTTTTTGTTTTGTACCTAACTCAGCTTACTGACAGGGAAAATATGAGAAACACAAAGTAATGTTGATGAAAGTGTTCAAGGGCAACTTTAAAGTGGAGCCTGTATATGTAGATCAAGAACGCTTGTGCAAAAAGAGGCTACCAAAGAGTCCAGAAGAATATAGAAAATGTAGCGGTGGCCAAGGAAAGCTTGCGTCAAAATTGACAATAAATCAATACTTTAAGCCATATCCTCCATTCAATCTACCGCCGCTTTCTTGGTACATCCGTGGGAACACCATCAAAATCTCCAAAAATCTGCTCAATGCGCTTCAGAACACGGCTAAGGTTGTACGAATGGCTGAGCCCTAGAAGAACAAGTCACCAAAACCGTTGATTAAGACATCTAATCAAATGAGACTTTTTAGTTTTATTTTTTATTAATGTTTATAAAGTTGATGAAGGTTCTATAATTAAAATAATTTTTGTTAGTCATTTTCAGTTGTAATACTTTCAAGACATCATGTTTGAATTTTAAAATTTCTTCAAATAATAGTATGCATTCAGACACAATTAGTAATAAATTGTTTACCTAGCTAAAGATTTTCGACAACCAAATAGGACAAAAAAGTAGAAAGTTTATTGATATATATATATATTTTTTTTAAAGTTCCTTTGGTGGCCTGAGTACATCTAATTGTCCCAGAAAACCGAAAACTCGAGACGAAATATTCATATCCCTCACAAGAACCAATATGTTTGTTCTGTCTTTACCACTTCAGATTGTTCATGTTTTATGCCATGAACTGGAACCATTCTTTAGAGACTAACATTTGTGTGACCGCTTGAAACCAAAAACTCGAGAAGATTACGAGACTTGTAGCAACGGACGAGGAAGGATAGGGTTGAAGGTGACAAGGGATCAGATGTTTCAGCCTTCTCCTATTCTTACTCCACCTCCACTTTCTTGGTACATTCGCGGGATCACTATTAAAACCACAGAGAGTATGATTGAAGATCTCCTCGCGGAAGCTGCTAGGATCCGAGGAGAAAACTCCGTTGTATTGGAGAAGAGCGAAAATGAGCACATAAAGGAGAGATGGAGATCACGTAAGTAGAAGTAACGGGATGAGATATACTAATCGGGGAATGATGTAATTCATGTAATTGTGATTTTAAACTTTATTGCTGGTTACAAACTCAAAACTCACGATTCTATGATTTGCTTAAATCTGAGTTATGGTACCTAATTTGATTCTCTCCTTAGTTAGGTCTTGCTTGCTTGTACGTCAAGAACTCACGAGAATGGACCTGCCAACTTCACTGTTTTCCGTATCTTAATCTTGCAACCCTAAAATATCTGACTACTTATGGTTGATTCAAGCAGTGCCAGTTCATGGCATAAAACATTCACTTTGGCCCCAAAATTTAAAGAGTTATTATACATAAGTCGCATAGCCCCAAAATTTTCAAAATTTGTTTTATTTAAATTAACTTAAAAGTGTTAATGGTATTTTAAATATCAGATCCAACCATTGATTAAACATTAAAAATAAAATAAACTAGGATAAGACTTGTGTTTTCCGTAGGGTGAGTATATGTAATTAAAATATAAGACTTTAGTATTTACAAATTTAAAATTTACATATGATTGTTTTTATATGTATTTGAAATTTTAGAATTTTTATATAATTATGTAGGATCAGAAACAATTGTAATTAGAAGTGTATATCAAAAGTTATAATCTAATCAGTTCGGTTCATCTTTTCATTTTTCACTGTTCGAGAGCTGAAAAATAAATAGAGTGTCACATGACTTAATTGGTAGAACATTATCAAATTCTCTAATGCTTTCTTAAAAAGCGATTCATAGAATATTCGCATTTAAAATATATAAATTTCCAAAACAAATTTAATATAATTTATTTATTTGTCTACTAATATCAGAAAATAATATTTTTTAAATTTTTTTTTTTTTTAAAATATAATTTTTATAAAAAATAAATTAAATTTTAAATTATAATTATTTGTAAAATAAAATTATTTATTACGATATGAGATATATATATATATATATATATATATATTAAAACATAACACTTATTAAAATAAAATTATTTATTTATATGATTTTATAATCATTGTAACTTATTATATAAAAAAAATTTAGACCTTGGTCACAAAAGTTTATGTGAGATTTTTAACAGTTTTAGTAATTTATACTCGTTTTTAAAATTTCAAAATACAACATATGTAAAAAAATCTAAATTTGTATTATATAATTAGTGTAATTGTGTAACTTATTTAATAATAAAAAATTAAACAAAATGATATGAAGTATACATATTGTTAACAAATCTTTATTATTTAAAATCTTTGTCCCTAAAATTTAAAGAGTTATTATTATACATAAATTGCATAGCCCCAAAATTTTCAAAATTTGTTTTATTAAAATTAACTTAAAAATGTTTATGGTATTTTAAATATCAGATCCAACCATTGATTAAACATTAAAAATAAAATAAATATTGGACTAACCAAAAAAAAGGAACATGCACTTTGGTGGGTTTTGATTCATTTTACTGAGAACTTGGGTCTTCTCTTTCCTCAGAAAGGTCTCGCTTGTACGTCATGTGATCACAATCACGAGAGTTGAGCTGCCCACTTCATTGATTCACCATGCATGAAACTCAACGTACACCATTCTCTCAAAATGCAGAATATACATTAACTAAAATTCCACAAACCATAATATATATACGCAAGTTGTAGATCGTCATTTACTCTTGCTCTCATCAGGTTAGTAGGCTAAACATTCGAATAGAAAATGGGTATATTCCCTGGATTTGGTAGCTGGATCAGTAAGAACAATCAACAGCCTCATAAGGTCAGCTTATATCATCAATCAGAGTACCTGAAGAAGTCAAATAGATATATAAGCATATTTATTCCGTTTGTTGATGTAGGCCGAGTCCAAGAAATCAGAAAATGACGAATCTAAGTCGATGTCAGAGAAAGACCCAAATAATAATGCCCCTGCTAACAACAAGATCAAGAAAGATTATGGTTATGATGAAAAAGAGGAGATGAGACAACATATACTTTGGCATGAAGAAGAGAAGAAGCATCCTTGGCATAGTTCCCCTCCCAAGGCCAAGGTAAGAAAAAAAATCTACAAACAAAATATAATACCCAAAATCTTTTTTGCCTTGGTAGAATAAAAAAGAAAGATCCTTAAACTTCCTTTATATTTTGATCTTTGAAGGTGACAACTAAAAAGGGTGTTTACCATATGAACTTAGAAATAACCATAGGAGCGACGCCTGAAAAAACCTTCTTATGGTTGACTGATCCATGGGGCAGTTCGTTTTTAGATAAGAAGATGTGGCGCGACCTTATGGTTTTCTTTTCTGATCATTATATGCTTCCAATGTGGTATTTAATATATAGCATTAATTAATATATATTTGATTTTTGTTCTCAAGAAAAACACATCAAGAACGGTTTTGACGGAGGATGGTCCAAGGAAGGTCATCAAGGTGAAGAAATTTGTGGTATTTGACTTCTTTTCGCTGACTTATATACCTATCCCGTTACATCTAATAGTGGAAGAAAACAAAAAAGATCTTACGGTAAGAAGCTTCTCTCATAAGAATCAACACACCTTTGTGTTAGTACCTAACTCAGCTTACTAACAGGGAGAATATAAGAAAGAGAAAGTAATGTTGATGAAAGTGTTCGAGGGCAACTATAAACTGGAGCCTGTATATATAGATCAAGAACGCTTGTGCAAAAAGAGGTTACCAAAGAGTCCAGAAGAATATAAAAAATGTAGCCATGGCCAAGGAAAGATTGCGTCAAAATTGATAATAAATCAATACTTTCAGCCATATCCTCCATTTAATTTACCTCCGCTTTCTTGGTTCATCCGTGGGAGCACCATCAAAACCTCCAAAAATCTGCTCAATGCACTTCAGGGCACGGCTAGGAGTATACGAGCGGCTAAACTGCCCCAAGATTATGAACAATTTAGATCAAAGATGCATAGACATGAACTCCAGGACTAACACAAACTCAATACTTTATTAAAAAAGTTTTTAAACAAATTACAACAAATCTGTTTAATCAGAATAACTTGCTTCACAGCTTGTGAATAGCATGTGCAGCCTTTAAAGATTGTCTAAAGTCTCTCAATCAATTTAAACATTTTTTTTTTTTTTGTCCGCCGATTTAAACATATTTTTTTACCAAAAAAACTAGAGTAATTAGGAGGTATATACACCGAAATTCTCGAAGCCAAGAATATGCCATCCTACTACACTATTTTATTTTTATACCATTTTACCCCTACATCATATCATGCTCAACCAATCACCTATTATGTCAGAAGATATTACTAGACCAAACCTATTACTCTGGAGGTATTGAGACTACTCTCCCACAGTTAAAGATAATTTAAATGCTTCAATAATAATGACGAAAAAGACAAACGAAAAAAGCCATCTTTTACAGTTTCTTTTAGGTCAAACCGTTTCAAATAGTATTGTTACCAATTTCAAAATCCTAAATTCTCTAGAAACTCCAATTGCTTTCTAGAAACCTTTTTTTTTCCAACAAATGATATGGAGAGCAATTACTACTACTGGAATGTGTCTCCTTCTCATGTATTTTCAAGTAGCTAGCTCGGCCAACCATTAGCTATGTCACTGTCTTCTAGTAATTATGCGTTAAGGTCATGATCCAACTCGGGTGAGTGACTCGCCATCTCGATCAAGTAGTCATTTTGGCCTCCTATACCTCTCCAGCGATTTGGCATCAAGATCTTGATATGTCATTATAGAGTGACTCTCCGTTGTCGATGAACAATGACTCACGCATTTGTACGTCAAGAACTCACGAGAATGGAGCTGCCAACTTCAGTGTTTTCCGTATCTTAATCTTGCAACCCTAAAATATCTGACTACTTATGGTTGATTCAAGCAGTGCCAGTTCATGGCATAAAACATTCACTTTGCCCCCAAAAATTTAAAGAGTTATTATACATAAGTCGCATAGCCCCAGAATTTTCAAATTTTGTTTTATTTAAATTAACTTAAAAGTGTTTATGGTATTTTAAATATCAGATCCAACCATTGATTAAACATTAAAAATAAAATAAATATTGGACTTACCAAAAAAAAAAGGAACATGCACTTTGGTGGGTTTTGATTCATTTTACTGAGAACTTGGGTCTTCTCTTTCCTCAGAAAGGTCTCGCTTGTACGTCATGTGATCACGAGAGTTGAGCTGTCCACTTCATTGATTTACCATGCATGAAACTTAACGTACACCATTCTCTCAAAATGCAGAATATACTTAAACTAACATTCCACAAACCATAATATATATACGCAAGTTTTAGATCATCATTTACTCTTGCTCTCATCAGGTTAGTAGGCTAAACTTTCTAATAGAAAATGGGTATATTCCCTGGATTTGGTAGCTGGATCAGTAAGAACAATCAACAGCCTCTTAAGGTCAGCTTATATCATCAATCAGAGTACCTGGAGAAGTCAAACAGATATATAAGCATATTTTTATTCCGTTTGTTGATGTAGGCCGAGTCCAAGAAATCTGAAAATGAAGAATCTAAGTCAGTGTCAGAGATAGACCGAAATAATAATGCCCCAGGTAACAACAAGAAGAGAGATTATAGTAATGATCAAAAAGAGGAGATCAGAAACCATATACTTTGGCATGAAGAAGAGAAGAAGCATCCTTGGCATAGTTCCCCTCCCAAGGCCAAGGTAAGAAACAAAATCTACAAACAAAATATATAATACCCAAAATCTTTTTTGCCTTGGTAGAATAAAAAAAAAGATCCTTAAACTTTCTTTATATTTTGATCTTTGAAGGTGACAACTAAAAAGGGTGTTTACCATATGAACTTAGAAATAATCATAGGAGCGACGCCTAAAAAAACCTTCTTATGGTTGACTGATCCATGGGGCAGTTCGTTTTTAGATGACAAGAAGAGGCGCGACCTTATGGTTTTCTTTTCTGATCATTATATGATTCCAGTGTGGTATTAAATATAGCATTAATACATGAGACTCTGATTTTTGATTTTTGTTCTCAAGAAAAACACATCAATAATGGTTTTGACGGAGGATGGTCCAAGGAAGGTCATCAGGGTGAGGAAATCTGTGGTTTTTGACTTCTTTTCGCTGACTTCTATACCTATCCCGTTACATCTAATAGTGGAAGAAAACAAAAAAGATCTTACGGTAAGAAACTTCTCTCACAATAATCAACACACCTTTGTGTCTGTACCTAACTCAGCTTAATTACTGACAGGGAAGTTATAAGAAAGAGAAAGTAATGTTGATGAAAGTGTTCGAGGGCGACTTTGAATTGGAGCCTGTATATGTAGATCAAGAACGTTTGTGCAAAAAGAGGTTACCAATAAGCCCAGAAGAATATAAAAAATGTAGCCATGGCCAAGGGAAGATTGCGTCAAAATTGATAATAAATCAATACTTTCAGCCATATCCTCCATTTAATCTACCTCCGCTTTCTTGGTTCATCCGTGGGAGCACCATCAAAACCTCCAAAAATCTGCTCAATGCACTTCAGGACACGGCTAGGAGTATACGAGCGGTTAAACTGCCCGAAGATTATGAACAATTTAGATCAAAGATGCATAGACATGAACTCTAGGACTAACACAAACTCAATACTTTATTAAAAAGTTTTTAAACAAATTACAACAAATCTGTTTAATCAGAATAACTTGCTTCACAGCTTGTGAATAGCATGTGCAGCCTTTAAAGATTGTCAAAAGTCTCTCAATCAATTTAAACATATTTTTTACCAAAAAACTATTTAAACATATTTTTCTTAATTTTTTTTGTTTGTTTTAGTTTTTAAACCAATAAAGAGAGAACATGTATTAAATGGATCTCTCCACATATCAGTAAAATCTTTCCATAAACATACATGTCTCACATTTTTACTCTTACTATGTTATCTTTCTCTTATTTTTTTTCTTTTTTCCAATTTGTTTATTAGGTGAGAGAGTAATGGAGAGACCCCGCTAATGCTGCCCTTACTTTATATCTATCAATCTAATCAACATAACTCTCGTTGTACACTTGATTATGCTTTATATGGGTGGCACAATCGAATCACTTGGTATTTTCGGTATATTTGGTATTTGTAATTTCAATTACTTGCTAAAAGTAAAATATTTGTAAGTTATTTGTCTAATTTTATTACTTGTTTCTTGTAAATCACTTGCAACTTGCTTGATAGTTATTGATAAATTATTTAAATTTAAAGTAAATAACTTTGTTATGCATAAAGAATATTTCATTATTTTTTCCTATGTTTAAGTCAATTAGGGAAATATTATATATAAACATATCACCTATGTTTTTTCACTTATGAAAATTAAATTATAAACAAATTATTTCATATAATATAAAAATGTGTCTTTGTTCATCGACAAAAACAAGTAACAAGTCAAACAAGCCTAATAGTTACTTTTATTTTAACATTTGACACTTGTCTTATATTTACAAATTATTTGATATATTTAATTTGGTCAGATCATGTATTTGATTCTACAGGTCAAGTATTAATCAAGTAGTGATTATGAGGCACATAAAACCAATCAAGTTCGCCCTAGCCGCATCTCTCCCTGACACTGACATCGAGGCAAAGATTGAAACTTTCTCCTCCGGCGCCGGCAAAGGCGTTTCTCGCCGGCGCTGGGACACACAATCAGATCTCGTGCTCCTCTTCATCCTTTGCTTCCACTTTGTTTCCCACTTCGTCGATTTCAAGCTTTCGTCTCTGTTTCGCACCGAGATGTGTCTCTTCTCCAAGGAGCTCCGGTCCACTTGCTCAAGCTTCACCACGTCTCGCCTTCACCGCTACCTTGACGACTCTGTGACCTCACGCTCCAGAGTTGTGTGCCACGACGTTTTAAAGATGAATTTCATAAGCTCCAAAAGTGTTGAGCTTCAGATCTATGGCTTCAAGTTTGTCACCTTCCGCACATATGGAGGTACCGGATCTGCTCAGCCTGTGGGTGAGCTCACAGGTCCTGTTCGGCTTTCTCCCGTCGTCACCACTCCTCGCCTCACCGCATCCTCACTAACCGGCTGTTGCAGCTCTGCTGCCGTAAAAGCTACATCCGCTCCACGCGCCAACGCCGTCGAAATCCATCAACTCGACTCAGCTCCGATCGTTGCATACGTTCAGTTTGGTTTGGGCCTGACCCTAGATTGGGTTTTGATAAGCCCATCAAACCTACTTAAAGATCCAGAGTCTCTCCCCCTTCGACTGCAGCTACCTCACCCACCACAACCAGCTCTCACAACTGGAAATCTCGACGCTTGCTCTCTCATTCTGAGTTTTTCTGAGTTCAACGACGAGAAGATGGGCTTTAATTTAGTCAAACCTTCATGGTTCCATCACGGTAATTCTGGAATTAGAAGTTTTTGTATTAACTTAAAGCATGACTCTGTCTCAGAAGCCCTCGTCAAACTCCTCTCTATGTTTATTGTTGTGGATGTGGCCATCTTCTCAGTACTGGATTCACCTAGTCCATGTGTTTACGTCAATGCCGTTCTTATCCGGCGTCCGA